TTCGCGCGACCTTTATAGCTTTGCTTAAAAAGCGCACCTTTTAGAAAACGCGTTGTCGGAAGTTTGTCGGATCAATTGTCTGACAAAAAAGTTGTCAATGAAAATTTGTCTGACAAATTCTCTGTCAACAAGGAGCACACTCTATTCTAGGGTGTTGTCGATCTTCTCTCAATGCTCAGCTCACTCATTTTCTCGTATGCGCGCAGTGAGCGTGTGACTTTTGTGACCGACATTTTATGGAGTCTACGGTAATCATTGTTTATTCAACAGTAGGATTTACTTTGTTTAAAGTGTAACTTTTGCTAGAGTGTAACTTTTGGTTTCAGCAAGCTTTCGTTGCATTCAGCATTCAGCATTCAGCAGCATTAAAAGGATTCAGCAAGCTTTCGTTGCAAATAGAATGGCTCCAGGACTACCTAGTAGACTCTACCTAGTAGACTTTTAATCAAAACATCTGTCGGTTCTTTTTTGGCATTGGCAATTGAAGGTTTTTCTCAGCATCAACCCTTTTATTTTGATGATTTTGACTATCATTCGATGCAGAATAAAATTGCACGTCGAATGACACCAAAATGAACTCAAAATGTAATATCCATGCAAAGTTGTTAGCTAAAAACCTAAACCCAATCCATTATGGACGGGACTTAATCTTTTGCCTTATAACTTTTCATGGATATTACATTTTGAGTTCATTTTGGTGTCATTCGATGCGCAATTTTATTATGCATCGAATGATAGTCAAAATCATCAAAATAAAAGGGTTGGTGCTGAGAAAAACCTTCAATTGCCAACGGCAAAAAATTGACAATCTAACTTTGAGTTGAAATTTCTTGGTGTTGGACTTTTCAATTTAAATAGTTTTTTCTATCAACTGATAGAGAAAGACTTGGCTTATCTAATGATATTAAGAACATTGAAATTGAACAGCTCAACACCAAGAGATTTGAGCGCAAAGCTAGATTGCTAATAGCACATCAAATGTCCGATAACCTTTAGAGGCACCTACGTAGCCACTTGGACCTACACGCAAGTCTACATAAACATGTATTTCCGGGTGATCGGCGTTGTCCTAATCACTCTCCATCGTCTCGTCGCCATCTGTTTTCACTCGAATCACATTTACACAGTTACCTCTCTAATCATTTCTCTTGTATTTTCTTTTCAGATTATTTCTCAATTACCCGCTTTTTCCACTTGTTTGGTTCATTATTTCCTAGCAACTCTCTTGTCGATTCCATTATTTTTCCAAAAAGCCGCGCTCACTTATAATAACGGATCGCTTGATGTATTGTTATTGGATATTCCCGTGGCGGTGAGTTTTGATGGAGTGAATAGAGATGGAAATGGGGAATGGATTTTAAAGTACTTGAGTGACCATAATTGAGCAAAAAAAACGATCAATATTTAACAATACTCTTCAAAAAGGAAAGGGGAAGATTCTCATGTTCATTTTTCACTTGCATAAGAATTTACAGCTAGATCAAGCCAGCCAAAAAGCCAGCCAGTCAAAGCCAGTCAAAAAGCCAGCCAGTCAAAGCCAACCAGTCAAAGCCAGCCAAAAAGCCAGCCAGTCAAAGCCAGTCAGTCAAAGCCAGCCAGTCAAAGCCAGTCAATCAAAGCCTGCCAAAAAAGCTTGTTTTTGAAATTCTAGCGGCTAAAATGAAAGAATCTCTTAAGCATTCCTTAATAATCAGATTGTAAATAAAGCGTTTCAAATATTTACCTGGATTGCTCAGGCTTGGCTTGGTTTGGTCTCGCTAGACTTGAAAAAAAGCTGGCCATATGACCAAATTGTCAGGCCAGGCTAGACCAGACCGTACTTACATAATAGCTTTTCTTGTTTTTGAGCTGACTTGGCGGCAGACCTTGCTTATGGCCCTGGTCTGGACTGTCAACCATAGCTTAAGGGCCAGCGTTGGTTTGAAAAAGCGACTTTAAGAACAACTCTGCTTACTATCAGCTGCTGTAATATCGAAAAGCTACCGTCATTCAATAAGTCTCAGGTCTCAAGCAAAAATTCTCCAGTTCCAAATTCTTGAAGCTCATCTTTATGCAATCATTTCATCTTATTAGGGAAAAGTACAATTGATCCGTTCGAATCTAGGCAAACACAATCCAAGCCGGTCTTTTCACAATGATCTCTTCAATAATCTGTACAACTTGCTATATTTTGATCTTCTTTCAACTCTCTCGAAACGGGAATCACAGTCGAAACGATAAAGTTGAGCTGAAACTAGCGTTGCACGGGTTTTTGCTATTTCTCGTTTTCATGGTGATCAATGTGCATTATATTCTCATCACGAGTTCGTATCTTTTCTGGAATGTCGTGAGTTTTTTTTGAGTAATTCATTGAACTATACTTTGTATTTGAAACACAGCTTTTCTACGAGAAAAAAGAAGTTGAGTAAGTGTGTGACTCGGCTTTTGAGGAAAAGTAAAGCTTAAACAAACAAGCCTAACTAGAGATGCACAGAGATTGACCACCAAGTTAGACGTACATTAGACGTACATTAGACGTCATTTTAGCCCGGAAGCGTTCATAGTCATGATTAACCGGTAAAACGAGTTCTTTCTGAAAATTCTGAAGTTTTCTTGTAAATCTTGTTGTAAATCTCAACAACCTGACTAGTTGAAAACACAATTGAAGGTGTTCCAAGTGCCATAAATGCGTGAATTCCCAGGAATTAAGGGCTCAAAAGCTCTCGTGATCTCTTACAGCATGAGAGCCTTTCAATACAAATGAGATCGATCCCCTACTCTTTGAGAAAAAAAATGTGCACATTGGTGGTCTTCGTGTGTATGTAGAGATGGGAGGCAGGCGGCGAGCAAAAAAAAGAAAAGCAAAAGAAACGCCGAGCCCGGGCTTTAGTGGACAGAGGGAGGAGGGGGCAAAGGGCCACTCCCCGCTGCTCTCTTCTCCCACGTACCACAACAAAATCCCTTTCATATCCCCTTATTCATATCTTCTTTATTCAGCTTAGGTACTAAAAATTGAATTGGAATTCATCTAAAATAGCTATATGAAAAATTCGCATTCGCAGATTAACTTACTAACTTACAGTACTGGACAATGAAATATGATATTTGAAAAACGATCGTCACTTTCGCTCGTCTTTAACACCCTTGTCTTTGAGTTTAAACTATTAGTGTTATACATTTTCTGAAAGCCCTTTTCAAGGACTACCCAATGGTAATATTAATATTTACAAATACGGTAAAGACAAGGGAGTGACAGACGAGCGAAAGTGACGATCTTTTTTCAAATATGCTATTTCTTTGTCCAGTAGTGTATGTATTCGCTTGGTGAATTGAAAACTGCGGGACTTTGAACTAAAATTTGTTCAAAATAAAACCATGAATTCATTCGAAATAATTTCCATTATTATTGACGACTTCTGCCCATTTTACAGGCAATTTGCGGATTCCTCTTTCGTAGTTGGATTCTGGTTTGTGTGTGAGGCAAGTGTGAGACTCAAAAATGGAGAACTGGAGATGTCCCAGTTTGAGCCCTTTCTTCAAAAGAAACTCATTTTGGTGTCAATAGAAAAGTTGTAAAGAATCAAAAATGAGGCTTATAGCCAAATTTCCAAAAAGATACACTCAGTAGTTTCGCTTAAAATGCAAGTTTTGTGAAAATTCGTAAATTTGGCATTTCTTGAAAACCAGTTTCTGAATCGTTCTGAAAATTTGGATAAAAGCTTGATTTTTGATTCTCTACAACTTTTCCATTGACACCAAAATGGGTTTCTTTTGAAGAAAGTGCCCAAACTGTCACATATGACATAGCCCGCAGTTTTCAATTCACCAACCCAATAGTTTGTACTTTTCTCTCAAAAGCCGAGCACACATTTTTCTGACGTATCCAAGTCAAACTAAGCACTGAAAATCTCGAATTCAGCCGGATTCCACTCGAAAATTCATGCGTGATTGGTATGGTGTGTTCAGCACCGTTTTCTCCTATATTTCCCCGTATATGATCATTTTGTCGAATTCGGTGATACGAAAGAAATTCCTTTGTCAAGATCGACTTCCATTAGGAACGACAATGGTTGTTACGATGTCTGAATAATAAAGCTTGAAAATCGAGTTAACACTTTGATGTTTTGCACGGTTTAAAACCAAAACTTTCATGCATAAACTAAAAAATGATGCAAAGTAAAAAGAGAACTCAGTTTTTTTTTTGATCTGTCTTCGCACTTAGGTGTTCCTGTTTTGGGCAGATCACAACCTGCTTCCACATTTCTCTATCCCTTACTATTGTCATCCAGTGTTTCCTATCTTGGTTGTTTCTGGTTCGAAGTCTTCGACTTGCTTGTGCTGGTGGTGGTTGCACTCTAACCATCCTTTCTCTGACCCTCCCTGCCACTCTTGTGCTCCACCTCGTTGCTGGTCTTCCGATGGGCCTCTTCTGGTCTCGTGGTAGCCACTCTGTGATCCGTATCGTCCATCTGTCGTCTGTTCTTCTGGCTACGTGGCCGGCCCATCTAAGTCTTTTTCTCTCAATCACTTCCACTGGATCTCTGAGTTCCGAGAGCTTCCGTACTTCTTAGGTCTTGGTCGAGCTGCGTCTTCCTATTGTACCCGAGGAGGTTCCTTTCAAGGGCTCGATGCGTCGTTCTCAGGGCTCGTTCAGTGGTCTGTGTCATGACCCAGGTTTCTGTCCCGTAGCAGAGTACCGGGAGGACGGTGCTGGAGAACTGAGTTTTCAAAAATGATTTGTTCATTTATTCAAGCAAGAATCTTTGGTGTGTTTAATTTTAAACAATTTCTAGCTAATTTCTAGCTGATTTCCTTGACTCTTTTCTCAGTTTAAACACTGATTTAAAGTTTTTGTTAGTGTTAAAAGAAAGCTTTATGGAGAATGAACGAAAAGAAAAATCTATAAATGAAATGCGTAGAAAAGAGATCACCAAACAAACGGGAACTCGACTTTTTTGTGCATGCTAAGACCTGGCAATGAAGTGTTTGAAAGTGAAAAATGTCTAAAATGAATGAGATTATGGCATTTGGGTGATTCGGCTTGTGATGACCGTTCTGGTTGTTCCGTTGAGACGAGGAGTGGATGATTTCCGAATCTCCAACACGAGGATTACCGCTCTGCAAAATTGGATGATTGGATGATGAATTTGGTTTTGTTAAAAGTTCATTCTAAAATAAACTTCAAAAATTCCACCATTAAAAATACCGACTGGGGCTACCAGTGGTGAATTTATCGCATACACGAAATATATCAATCACAATACAACGACACACACAATACTAGGCTATATCTTAACTTAACCCACGTCATGACAGACGGCTCCCTAACCCTAAGCTCAATGGGGAACTAAATAGCTTTTTTGGTGGTGAAGGGAAGATGACGATGAAGGAGTGGCTTGTCACTTTAAAGAACTAGGGCCACAACCACCAGACTGCCCTCCAGAAAAACCTCTCAACCCGAAGGGAAAGGAAATCCGAAGGGGGTGACCATGTCGCATGTGGGGTTCGAAGCCTCGACCTTCCGATTAAGATAAAAGACACTTAACCAGTCAGCCACACGTGCTATATTACGGTTTAAAACCTTTCAAAAAGCCCTTACCAATCCCATTTGCTTATCAAACCTTTGATATTTGCTTTATTTGCTTTATTTGCTTTATTTGCTTTATTTGCACGCCTCCTCTTGAACAGCATACCTTAGGGCTATACAATTTTATCAAACCCTATTCTCTATATGCTGTTCAAGATTTCTTATTTATTACAATTTTTCGTGTTTTTGACGTTAAACTAATTCATTTTTGATTTAATTTCCGTGTTTAGATGACCGAGACGAAGTTTCGTCTTCGTGTCAGCCTTTGATATGACTTCAAATTGGGCAAAAATCCCGCTGAATTTGCCTATCAAACATTTGATACGCGCCCCGCCTCTTTTCCCATTGACAATCTAACTTTGAGCTCAAATCTCTTGGTGTTGAGCTACGTAAATTTTAAAGTTCTTGATATCATTAGATGCGCCAAGTCTTTCTCTATCGATTGGTATTTGATATTTGCTACATTTGAACATTTGATATTTGCTTTATTTGCTTCATTTGCTCCGCCTCTTTTCCCATTGACAATCTAACCTTTAGCTCAAAATTTCTTGGTGTTGAGCTTTTGAATTTAAATAGTTTCTGTACCAATTGATAGAGAAAGACTTGACGCATCTAATGATATCAAGAACTTTAAAATTTACGTAGCCCAACACCAAGAGATTTGAGCTCAAAGTTAGATTTGCTAATGGGAAAAGAGGCGGGGCGCGTATTAAATGTTTGATAAGCAAATTGAATTGGTAAGAGCTTTTTGAAAGGTTTTAAACCGTAATGGTTGAATTTTTGACGTTTATTTGAGAATGAACTTTTAACAAAACCAAATTCTTATAGCAGAATCTCATTCGAGATTCGCCTAGATTCATTTGATCCCTGTTTTGACAAGATGATGTGTTCTGGGTTCTGGTTAGCTTTGAATCGAAGCTAGAGTGTATTTTCTATGTCTAAAACTTTTATAAAGCTTAATGAAATCAAATTTCGAGCTATTTTTACTGAAGAGATGTGCTTCTTATAGGTTTTGGTCTACAGAGTGACCCACAATTATAGCGCCACACTTCAGAGGGTCTAGATTCGCCAAAATTGAGTGAATCGCTCTGATTTTTCTGGAGTTAAATCTTAAGTATTTCTCCTGGAACCATACCCATTAGCTAATAGATTCAACCTTTCAACTTTCTTCTATAACCTTCCAAAGTTGAGAACCGAGTTTTGCTCGACGCGCTACTCATTTATGGGACTTTGAAAGTTTCATTTTTTTCCGCTAAGAATGGTACTAACCATCAGTCAACCATAATGTCGCCAGTTAAGTACAGAACCTCTTGCTAATTTTAGCTCAACATTGCAAGGCCGCAACTATGTTTTTTTCTCAATGTGAGAAACTTTTTTCTGTTTTAATCTCTGCAAGCTTTGGCTTTCGAACTTTTCTCTAATTTTTCTCATACTTTTACCTACAAATTTTCTTGTAACACTGAAATTAGTGGTTCAGAAAAGTCACGAACCCTTGTGTACAATGAGAAAGTTGCCAAGCGATTGTCGTGTGGAAAAATTTCCAGAAAAGGTCGGTGGTCATGCCGGTGAAAAATTGAAATGACACGAGCATGTAGACGAAACCGAGAGAGGCAAGGGAGGACTGGAATTGATGGGAATGAGTGACGGATACTGTTACGGTAAACTTTTGAAATGTTAATGTAAATATTGCAGGTGCTCTAGGCTAAACGAATGTATGTTAAAAGCTACAGTAATCAGGATTCTTCTCGGAAATTCGGATCTTTTCATTGTGAAAAGTGCAAAACCCAAAGCCAATTCGATTCTCTTTGGACTTTTCTTGGGACAAAGGGTTAAAATAAACTTCGCCAATTGGTTCTACGACCCTGGGGCACAAACTTTTAAAACTAAATCTCATTTGAGAATCACAATTGAGAATTAAAGAGGAAGAGAGAAATCACTGTGTAAACTTTTAGGAGAGCGAGGTGTTCTTTGCGGCCTCGTATTACCGCGACAATGCACCGCGCCCGGTGCATTGCCTGGAGGGATGCCTGAGGCTGGTCCTTCACAGAGTCGTAGGGAAAAGAACGGCTATGTATCGGGGGCGTGTGCCAAATCGCAGGCGATTACGCGCCACACAAAGAACACTTTGCCAATGAGTTTACACAGTGATTTTCCTTTGTTCTGTAAATGATTCCTAAATGCGGTCTAATGTTAAATCTGTGGCCCGGGGTTTTCGGAGTCATAGAACCTATTGACAGAGTTTATTTTAGCCCTTTGTCCTAAGAAAAGTCTCAAGAGAATCGAATTAGCTTTGAAAAGACCCGGATTTCCGAGAAGAACTTGAATCAGTTTAGAGTTCGTTTTTAGGAGACATCTATTTTGGAAAACCGCCGTAGTTAAACCGCTAGTTTTCATTCGATCACCCGATCCGATCATTGATTGAACTCTGTGATTCCTCATCGAATGTTACGAAAATTGGATTGATTGAATGAAAGCTAAAGGCTAAAACTAAAATCTAGAATTCTCCGCCTCAACTGTATTAGTCTAAGAAACATTAGGTTGTTTTAAAATGCTACCAAAGTATCGTCTTAAGTTCACTTCCATATTTTATGTTTATTTTCAAATCGTTTCCCAATTCAGTCTCTCAAAAAAAAGCTACAAACCTGTGCGAACATTCTCATCTCTCGACGATTCGTCTTTTCTTGATTTCCTCCCGTCATTCGCCAATGCTGTAAATGAAAGAATATAAAAAAAAGTTTGATATTTTGGGTAAAACGGATTTAACTGAAAGTTGATTTGAAAAATTTATGGTCGCCTTATACAGTCCGTTTCATATTTCTTTACCCCAGTCTAAAACTTTAAAACTGAAACTTAAAACTGAAACTTAAAACAGTTTTATCTTAGCCTTATAAAGCTGACCCGGCTAGTATTTAGTTTTAAAAGGATAGTATTTATAAAGCTACACAGTTCTAATAGATCTAATAGATCGGATAGATTTTGTAGATTGTAGACTGTAGATTGTAGATTGTAGATTGTAGATTGTAGATTGTGGATTGTAGATTGTAGATTGTAGACTGTAGATTGTGGATTGTAGATTGTAGATTGTAGACTGTAGACTGTAGATTGTAGATTGTGGATTGTAGACTGTGAACGAATAGACTGTAGATTGTGTTCAGGATTTTAGATCCTTTCATTTGACCTACAGCCCGTTTCAGATTTCTTTTATCCACCCCCAAAAAGAGGTTTTATGGAGAATGGGTGGAGATATCGAACTATTTTCTTTTGCAATAGAAAGGCCACATTGTAAAACCCTAAAAACACCGTTTTCACACGGTTACTGGATTTTCTCAACAAAAAAAACTAAGAAAGAAGATTCTGCGACCGTTTCACATTTCTTTATCCACCCTTATCGTTAGTAAGCGTTGATTTTCAAAGTTCCTAAGGGTGGATAAAGAAATGTGAATTTTGAAACTTTGAAAATCAACGCTTATTAACGATAAAGAAATGTGAAACGGGCTGTAGGTCAAATGAAAGGATCTAGAATCCTGAACAAAATCTACAGTCTATTCGTTCACAGTCTACAATCTACAGTCTACAATCTACAGTCTACAATCTACAATCCACAATCTACAGTCTACAATCTACAAAATCTATCCGATCTATTAGATCTATTAGAACCGTGTAGCTTTATAAATACTAGACTTTTAAAACTAAATACTAGCCGGGTCAGCTTTATAAGGCTAAGATAAAACTGTTTTAAGTTTCAGTTTTAAAGTTTTAGACTAGCTCCAGAGCATTGACGTTTTCGTATAGCTTTCGTACCAGAACACTTTAGTACTAGTAAGAATAAGAGGGCTCTGGTATGTAGCTATTAATCTTGTACTAGCTTCAAAACTTAACTAATAACGGAAGCCTGGACTCTTTTTGATCTTTTTGATCATTGATTTTTTATATTGAACATTTTCCCTATTCATCCCGTTATTTCTTACAAAAAAAAACCAAAATTTATGAGAAAATGTTGCTAATTTCGTAAATCGGTAATTCGATTTACCTCGTGATTTCCTTTAAGCGACCGAAAATCACGAATATAAATTAGCGCCGAGAAATCTCAGCACTTTTCTCAAAATTCAATCAATACCAAAAACTCACTTTCACTTTTTGACTGAATATCACTAAAACAATTAGATCGATTAGAATCTCGGTGGTGAAAAACGAGCAAATTGCCAAGAAGTCGATATAAAATGAGACGAAATTCCCGCATGGAGTCGCCGAGAATTCCCATTGCATGAGTGTACGATTGAAGGTGAAATTACAACCAGCTGGAAAAAAAAGGAAGGAAATTGATAAGATGCCGTAGACGAATTGTTGCTGATTTGGGTATTCTGATCTCATTTTACTCAGATCTTGGATCAAGTACCCCTTTAACTTTGCACTTTTCACTGTTAAAGTCCCAATTCTGCCTAAAAGTCTTGCGTGAGATGAACAATCTGTTAAAGTAGCCCAGTTCAATTTTTTAAAAAACGATTTTCCGGGCCAGATTTAAATCAAAAGTCAGATCTGAGCAGAACTTGGCTTCTAACTCCTTCTGACACCTGCCCTGTCTTCTGGCCTGGATCTACTGTAGACCTGATCTACAGTAGATCACATATACTGTAAGCCTAACCCACAATAGACTGCAGATAATGTAAGCCTGACCTACAGTAGATCGTAGATACTGTAGGTACCTACAGATCGCAGATACCTACATATCTGTGCCCGCCAGAAGCCAGGCAAGGACGATGTCTCAAATTCTGCACAAAACAATCGAGGCTTTATGGAGTGATGAATCAATTCATGAAGTATCCATTGACCGAAAGAGAAAAAAGGAGGAAAGCGGTGCGAAGTTTTCGGTTGCAATTCCCAGTGTGCTGGACAATGATCCCAATTAAGCCTCCAAAGATGTTTCCACAAGCATACCGATTGCATGGATATTTCAACGTGCAAGTGATAGTTGTTGTGATGGCAAGTAATGGCCAAGGTCGAATTACAGTAGCATGATTCTTCAACATTTCGTTCTTCTAGTTGTTGTCAAGAAGAAAATGACCCACAAAAGTTTCCATCTTCTTGCCGATAAGGGTATGGAAACTGGCCTCGATAAAGGCTTCTGGCCTGGTCCCGGCCATCCCTTATCCCAACTTTTCTTTCTTCAAACAAAACAATTGCCTCTTACTTGTTAGATACAACTCTTTGAACTCACGATAAAGAAAAGTGCCACTTGCTATCCATAATATTGCAAATATTGGGACCATAACAGCCCAAGCGGGGATTTTCGAGAACCTCGTCGATTTCGCTATCCACAAAAGAGCCGTCGCTCGATTTATCGTCAAAAACATGCTCGTCATAAAACTACAAAATTCTGTGGCCAATGCAAAGAAGCCAAAGCCTCGTTCAACATAGGAATCTGGAGAGAAATTCCTGGAAATATTGGAAAAGTGAATATTTGAAAACTCACTAAAATAGAAAACTCACCAAAATAGCGGAAAAACAAGACTCCAAGGTAGGTGAACGATGAAACTGAGCAGGTTACAAGTGTCGGCAATGAGATGAGCTCTGAGATTTGGGATATGATGTTTATCAGCTTTTCAAGAATCAAGTACAAATCAAGAACAGCAGAATTTACTGTCGTTATTGTATTAGGTGTGTGAAAAAGTAATCCACGTTTTTTATTTTTATCTGATGACCAAATAAGACGCTGTCTTCTCGGAAACCCTCGTTCAACCTCTTCAGAAATAGGCCTTACATTAAATTGTGATGGGTCAACCGTAAGGAAACGCTTGAATGCCATGAATTTTATCAAAAAGTTGGACAAATGGATACCGCATGAACGATAACGCGCGACCACATGTCTCTTTACAGACTCAACAAAAAATCCAGAGTGTTGGATGGGAGGTTTTTACCACATCCACCTTATAGTCCAGACCTTTCTCCATCTGATTATTATTTATTTTTGTCTCTGTCTAACTTTTTGGCCAATAAACGGTTCAATTCCGATGTCAAAACCGAGGTTGATCTTTTCTTTTCTTTTCTTCGCCTCTAAGGACCAAGATTTTTATTATCGTGGAATGTCTTTACTTGTAGAACGTTGGCAAAAGGTTGTTCTTTCGAATGGTGATTACTTCGTTGAATAAAAATTATATTAACGAAACTTATGGTCTTTTATATCTAAACGTTAAAAACGTGGATCACTTTTTCACACACCTAATAGTATGAAAAAGGCTTTGAACCTGCAAAATGCGGTGAAATGCGGCGCGTTTTTCTTTTGATTTCGCAGTCGATGAAAAGCGATTACATTTATGACAGTGCCCAGTGAGCAGACCTGAAATTTTGGTATTAATATATTCACAACGATACGACCTTAATGCTAACGTTTGATAGATTGGCTTAACGTCAGTCCGTCAATAAATACAGTCAGCGTCAGAATGCGTACGTTACAAAACGTGGTTTCAGTCTCAATCATAGATAAATTTGGATTTAAAAACTGTCAGGACGTGCAGCAAGACTTTAGTTGAATATCTCCATTATTAACAACTTTCAAATCACAAACCAAAAGCACCAGCCCGGCAGCGAGTATTTGATTCCCATTGACGCTCTCCTCCATCAAATTTCAGAAAATACGGCTCATCAATTGGATCAATTGAGTTTCTTCAAAAAATTCTAAAGATCAGGGATTACAATTCGCATTTGAATTGGGGATTTGTGAGAATCTCCTTGGAGATTTGTGATTTTGATCAATTTCTACGAAAAACAAAGGACTCATTGGGGAAATTTTCTGTATGTCAATAAGTTTTTCGTCCTCGGCGCTAAATTATGAGGAAATCAAGTTAAATAACATCAAATAACATCAAAATGGGCACTGGAACATTGATTCGAGAAATGAAAATGCATTTTAAAGTCTTCGACAATTTTAAGAACTATAAAGGTTGTAAAAAATATTTTTGAAACTTTGAAAACAAAGATCCATTAAAGGAATGGGGAATTGAACTTTTGAAAGTAATTGGTATAATTGAGGCAAGATGGAAACTGTTCCAAGATCTGAGTAAATTAAGGCTAGATACAAGATGCTTTTCTAATTTTTTTTTGCACACCAGGGTCGTTTGTGCAACTCGCCATAACTTTCTTCTAAGTCGGCCAATCTTTATGATTTTGGTGTCATTATTATTGCACTTATTGAGATCTACAAAATGACATCAAAATCATAAAGATTGGCCGACTTAGAAGAAAGTTATGGCGAGTTGCGCAAAAAAAAATTGCTACATCTACAAGATCTACAAGACAAGCAGGAGCGGAACAGAATACAAAAATAGCTAGCCTATCATTGACTCGGCTGCTGTAGACTGCTTGAATATATCATTAACTTTTTGTACTTTATAAAAAATGAATGTAAAAGCTGTTTATGCGTAGAAAGATAAAAGTTAGCTTGAAATTCGTAGAGAATAATTGTGTATCAGCGAGTGTAGGGTTGAAAAAGCAAAAAAGCCACATGGTTTGGTTGTAATCGATATAATCGAATGTAATCGTTATGTAAAATATACAATACAAACGGTTTACTGGTAATAAATAACATTAACACAAACACACACCCACACAAATGAATGAATGAATGAAAGCAGAGAAAAATGGCGCCACCTACTGGCGGAGGGTTACGGTAGCGAGACAGACGGAAAAGGTCACGCAATAGAATGTGGATCTTAACTTCACAGTGATCCTAGTCATCAGAATCCTAGTTATAAGATATACAAATATACAGTAATAATATTAAAGAGATAGCCTTGGAGTACATCAATTTATTGGAATTTATTGGAATTGGAACTATCCGGAATTGGTTTCAACGATTTCGTGAAGGAAATTTCTCACTTCTCGATAGTGCAAGAACAGGAAGTTTTAGGGTACAACAAAAAAAAGCGAGAAAAACGAAGGAAAATCGCGAAAAGCGACGGAAAGGCTATTGATCTGAGGGTCGCTGGTTCGACTTCCACCGGTGACAATATTTTTCAAAAATTTTTTGCTAAGATTCTGAAAATGCGTGTCTAGGGGTTATTTTTGACGCCGATCACGAAACACATGTTTTTAGCATAGGTTTCTGCACGGAAAACTAACGAAACGTGAAAACAGCCATTTTTTGGCTCTGCCGCCCTTTACTAAAATAGCTGTAAAAACTTTTAGAAAAGAGATATCTCAAAACGGTTTTTACCAATCGATCCGTCTTGAATTCAGCTTTAGGATGAGCTATAAAACGTCCAAATTCGACAAATTGGACGTCCAAATTTAAGGTACTCTCCCAAAAAATCGGAAAGGACTTTTCCATCAACCGAATACATCCAATTCTTTGTGTATAGTACACCATTTTCTTTGCCAACCACTCAAAAAGTGAAAACGCGCATTTCTGGCATTTCTTGAAACAAATGACGTCGATTTCGTGAGAAAGATGAAAGATCTACAGTGCTCTAGAGAGAATGCGTTTACGACTTACATTTTGAGCACAAAGCACACGCTAATTAATTTCCAAAGAGCAATCCTAAAACTTTAAAACAAATCCAGCTTAACGAAAAATGAAAATCCTGAAATCAATTTGTATTATTCGAAAAACAACCAAAGTTTTTCATTTCAAATTTACACGCGCAACGGTACGATGCTGAAAAATGCGATGCTGAAATGAGATTTTCTTTAGTTTTCTCTTCTCAAGTTGTTCAACCAATTCTTCGAAAAAATATTCTATTAACACAAAAAAAGCAAAAAGAGATTTCTGATTGAATTCCCTTCATGAAATCAAACATTTGCGGGGAAATTGGCGCGGGAATTGTGGAGACAAATCTCACACACACTTTTTTCGTTTAGCAGCTGATTAGCGCTCACTGAGCTTTTTCAATGAAACAAAGAAATTTTAGAAAAAAGTGGAACTTGCAAAAAATGTTTGCATTTCTCTGGAGATTTGAAAACAGTTGATTGGTGAGAAGATTGTAAAGATTAATGTTTTTCTGGAGAGTGAAAGGGCAACTAGTAAAAGTCGGACAGTCGGACACTCGGAGAGATCGGACAGTATCACTGGACACTGAGTATCACTGGACACTGAGTATCACTGGACACTGAGTATCACTGGACACTGAGTATCACTGGACACTGAGTATCACTGGAAACACATTTTGAACGCTAATTTTATCTATGGAATATTAACTTTTTTAAAAAACTATTTCACCCATCATGTAGCCAAGAACGCAAGGAATTTTTTTGGTATAAAACTTGAAACGGCTTGGCTTTTGGAGTGTGAGAAATTTGACGGCGCTGTTTTGTATGTTTTCTATTCGCCGCTGTTTTGAATGTTTTCTTATCGGCGCTGTTTTAACTACATCCCATTTAACGCAAAGGAATACAATTTAACATTAAGCATTTAGCTGAATATCTTATGCAATTATAACTTCCAAATTGATCGAGCTTTACTACTTGCCAATTTACAACAATTATTTATTATTTCAGTGATAAATTGCTCCAAGGTCTAGTGTTTTCAAAAACAAAAATAAAGAAAGGATACATTTTTTATATTGTATATTATTGTGTTGTAATTCTTTATCCAATTTTATTCATCAATATACTTTTGACATCAATAATCGGCTGTTTCTCGGCCAACTGGCTAAGAGCATTGTAGCTTAGTCGAGGTATCAAGGGTTCAATCCCGCCCGTTAGATTTTTGTTTCTTTTTTCATATATATACCGTAAATACTGTAATAGTACCCCACCCCCTCGTACAGTTGCGTAGTCGCAAAAGTTTTTTAGTATTTCATTTTTTTCAAAGCGCCCGTACTTTCAAAAAATGTGTCTTTGGTATCAAAAAATAGCCCTGAATCTCAGCTATTTTTTGATACCTAAGCGCGCATCGTAGCATAAACCAGTGGCGAGAAAAACTCGTTCAAGGCTAGACTACGCAACACTTCGCACCGTCATTATGGGGCTGGGGTACTATTACAGTATTTACGGTAGGCTTTTTCCTTGCCTACATTTATGATTTAAGGATTGTGCTTGTGGATTTTTTGTATCACATTATTTGTTGAATAAATATTGTCCAAAAACTGTAGGCAAGCTGTGAATGTTCTTCAAAGTCTTTGAACATTTGACTAGATTTAATCAGTGAAACAATCGGTATTCCAATTGCTTTTGGAAATCAGTCAATTTTTGTTTTATTATAATTGCTTCAAGACTTTAAAAGAAGTTAGAATTTGTCTCTTGCAACTGACCATTTCTCTTCAAAGTGTTCTCTTATTATTCTCGGGGGTAAAAGAGTCGTAAAATCGATGACCGTTCGTTTCGTCGTCGAAAAGAGAGTCATCTCTCGCCTTTACGAGTCTCGTTTTTACGATTGAGTGACGGGGAAATGTTGGCTCTTCTAAGCCAGTATTGATTTACTTTTATTTCATTTGAATTTGACTAGATTGTTTCATTTTTCAGATTTAAGTTTCTATTTCATCTATTTTCTTTATCTCTATCTTTGTTTCATCTTTTAAAGTTAAGCTCAAAACTTTTAAAAGCTAATATCTAGTGCAGAGCTAATATCTAGTGCAGAGCTAATATCTAGTGCATTCAATCTTATTCTTAAAATATTCATCGTTCAAATTTATTCAAAAATTGATTTTTCTTATTGATTTACCAATATTTATCTAATTTCGATCGGTGTAAATTTAAAGGAAAAACTTTTTGGATACCCTATTTCTTCGAATAGAAGACCGGGTAAAGAGTATCATCGCGTACTCCTGCGTAGCAGCCCGTTTTAAAATTTCTTTTCTGCATAAAAGCTTTCAATGAAGTGCTATAGAACGGGAAAATGGCTCAAAAATCTGTTAGTGAATGTGGTATTTTTGAGTCATTTCCCAGCTCTATAGGACTTGATTGAAAGCTTTTATGCAGAAAAGAAATTTTAAAAAGGGATGCTACGCAGGAGTACGTGATGATACTCTTTACCCGGTCTTCTATTCGAAGAAATACGGTAAATCAAATCCTTTCTAAGCTCTCTAGAGGAACTCTTTTTTGGAACCGTGGATACCCTACCGTACCCTCGTCGCCGTCTTTCCTCTTTCCTTTCACTTTCCCGAATGCCCATTCTGTTTGTCTGTCAACGTATTATCAAGGGAATCGCTCTCTTTTCAACTTTTCGATTATCTCCAAGATTTTTATCGATTTCAATGTGATCCCGAAAACGATTCTTCTTCATTTATCCAAATAGTTTCGTGATGCTGAAGAAAGCGGACATGAAGCTGCCGTCACCTAGAATTTCAGTGAATTTTGAATTTTGCTAGAGGCCGATAGAGTTTTAGTTATAATTTCATAAAACAACGTTTCAGTTTTCGAAAAATTACTGGCCAATGAATTAGCCATAAAATTTTAGCCTTCAAGAACCATTCTAAAGTTTTTTCGTTGAGCTTTCTATCGTTTTTGAATTTCTCTTATTTTTCGCATTGATCATTTTGATTATTTACTTGGTTTATCTTTTAAAATCTTCATATTTAAAACTGGCTCTCAATGAATAATCAAAAATCTAATACTGAACTTTAGAAATGGAGCTCCAAGCCCCGCCACGAACGAAACGACGTCTCGATCTGGCGATCAAGAAACAGATCATCGATGCAGCGATGACGAAAAAGATTTCCCAAGTTGCAATGGAATTCGATCTTCCACAATCAACCGTTTCAACGATTCTCAAAAATCGTGTCCGCATCTCGGAAATTATTGATTGTGGAGTGAACACGAAACGATCGAGAGTCAGCTATTGTAAACACCCTGAACTCGAGGACGCACTTAGGAAGTAAGGTTTTCTGAAGACTAGATCTAGCGAATTTTATAAGCTTAAAGAATATAACTTTGTCAATGAAAACAAGAATTTTAGATGGGTGAAAGAGCGACAAATGGTGGACGCCCCGCTCAATGGACCGATGCTGAGGGTGGGTTCTTTCTTACTTAAGAAATCTTAAATTTTATTAAATTCTTTTACACTTCTTGATCAGATTAACAAATCTTTTTCTATGATATCTTTCAATAATTTTCAGGAGCAAGCTCTCAAAATGGCGGAAACGCTTCGAATTGATGATTTTCAGGTGTGTGTGTGTTTTCTTACAAATGAAACTAACTAGGTGTAAGTTCAATATATTCAGAAAAAACACTCTTAATCTACTTTTTACCAGCTAGAACTAAGATAATTAGAAGTTTCAGTTAGTCATTCATAGTAGAGAAAAATGCAGTGAAAATAAAGGTATTTCCTTATTTTCCTGCAAATTATTCCTATTGGATCCGAATGGAAGAATGCTTTTGATCAATTTAGATTTTAAATGCAGAAAGATACGGAATAATCGAAATGGTTAAGGATTAGATTGATTAGATTGACTTGATTGATTGATTGATTGACTTGATTGATTGATTGATTGACTTGATTGATTGATTGACTTGATTGATTGACTTGATTTGATTAGATTGACTTGATTGATTGATTTGATTTGATTTGATTTGATTTGATTTGATTTGATTGATTGATTTGATTAGATTGATTTGATTAGATAATCACTTGCAACAAACATTTCTAGGCGAGCAACGGCTGGCTGATGAACTTCAAGTCACGACACAGTTTGGCTTTCGTCGGTGATGAGAAAAAGAGTGGTGATTCCGCAAATGAATATCTCGATCATCGATTACCGACAATGATCACAAAACCTTCGATTTCCCGCCAAGAAGCCTATGAATCTTTCACGAAATTCCGCGAGTACATTCAAGAGAATTCAGCTGATCCAAAGATATTCCAAGCTTGCTTCGATATCGAGGATTTTTTTATCAACGAGCTAGTGAAAGAAATTCCTTTAAAAAGTGTATCCGATAGTGTTTAGTTAAACTTTTTGTACTTTTGTACTTACTGACCTATTGCCTTGTGATTTCTTGAGAAAAAAACGGGTTTCTACTGTATCCTTTCTCTTCTTTGTGGTGATCTTCAGCATTCTTTCATTTTTTTAGAAGTTTACTTGCTTTAAATAAACATGTCAACTAATTGGAAATAAGTTTTAGAATATTACAATAGAATTCGTGCATTTATTCTTTACCTACATATTGTTTAAAGCTGAAATCTGAGTTCATTAAGGGGAAAAAATCTGAATTTTCAGAATCCGACATTAGTTTTCCAAAATGCGCGCATTTTCCGAGTCAAAAATGACAGTTTACAAAAAGTGTCAGAGCTTTTGCGACATCCTGTCGTTACAACAAAGTCTATTGATCTATTTGAATTAAAATAGCGCTATGAAGCTTTCTGAATACATCGATTCTCGATACAATGAAATCACTAGACCAGCCAGCACAATAGCACATCGATATTTTGATATAATGAATTTGATCAAATCACAAATTTTAACAGTTTCTTTGTTATATCGAGAGCTCTTTTCAATTTCTCACCTCCTTAACTACTATATACAAAAGAGCAATGTCTATCTGTCTTTTTGTCTTTTTTTCTCGACCATGTACCAATAAAGCTAAAACTTTTTTTAGAAAACCTGAATATATCGTAGTTGTGTCAAAAAATTTTGAAAAAATCACAGGGCGGTGAAACACCCAGGAGTCGAACCCGGGCCGTGTGGGCTATAGACAAGCACGCTCTCGACTGGGCCACGTCGTCGTCATAATCAGTGGCGGACCCAGGATTTCGCGACTTTTAATCTAACGGCCCGAGCTCCTCGAGGCTACCCGCAATCAATTTTCGTCCATGAAATTATATTTTATAAAAAGTTCAGGCTACAAAACTGACTAAAAAATTTTTTGAAAAATTTCAAAGGGCTCGAGATTTTTGCATTTTAGTGCAGAAATTTTGATAAAACGAGTTTTTTAGGAATGAATAATTGATTTTACAAAACTAACGTTACGATTTTCGGAAAGTAAAGGAAATTTGACTAGGCGGGCTGAGCAACATGCAACAGCAACATTCATTTTACTTTCCGATTCGAAACTTTATGTTGAGAGCAGCGGCTTGTCAACTATAGCAGATTTTAAGGAGGTGAGTAGTTGAAAAGAGCCGTATAGTACCACTTACCAGTACAATTTGTGCCAATCGATCCAGCTGCCGAACAATTCACAGTCACCTCTTCGTGCACGATTTGTGAGGCGGCTTTTTTGGCTGTAAAAGTTTCAAATACCGTATTTTCTCTAATAGTAGTGCACCCAGAGCGTCGCCTAAATTGCTCAAAATCTCGAGAGCCGCTTATCAGAACTTATTGATGTGTGGCCGGAAAATGTAGCTGACGATGAGATCTAGTGGGGGATTTGAGTGTTGAGCTTCTGTGAAAACTTTGAAAGCCGTAAAATCGTCACCAACTCGGCTAGGCCGAGGGGAGGAGGAGAGGGCAATACTATTAGAGGAGATACAGAATACCCCATTTTCTCTAATAGTAGGGCACCCTGAGCGTCGCCTAAATTGCTCGAAATCTCGAGAACCGCTGATCAGAACCTATCGATGTGGGGTCGGAAAATGTAGCTGACGATGAGATCTTGTGGGGGATTTGAGTGTTGAGCTTCTGCAAAAGTTTGGAAACCGTAAAATCGTCACCAACTCGGCTCGCCGGGGTGCACTACTATTGGAGAAAATACGGTATATATATATAAAACCTTGAAACTCATACTGGCAGAAAGATAAACAGTTTCTCTGTTTGTTTAATAGTTATTTGTTACTTGTAGTTAAACTTTGCATTTTAAAATGCTTTGACAAAAGTAGGCTTTTTGTTGTTTGCCGGTCTTTCTTCGTTTTTCCCCGTTCAACTTTCATTTCAAGTACAACTTTTGCATTTTAATATAACAATTTACATTATTGAATGGGTAAATAAAAGAGAATTTGATTGATTGATTGACAAATTAAATTGAAAATTTGCTTAGCGAATAATTGGCTATGTCTTGAAATATCTCGAATTAACAAACCATCGAATCCAAATTGACAAATAAAGAAAATAAAAATGAAAAGAATGAATAGAAGTCTCATTTTATCAGAAAAAAAATTACTAATATTAAATGAAATTTTTCCTTAAAAAAAAGTGAGAATTCTCATTTTTTTGTGAAGGTCAAATCGCTTTAAATGAGAAAAAAAAATCTCTGGAAAATGTCTATCTTTTTGGAAAAACCGAATGCTTTTTGGCGAATGGATATCGCTTTTTTTAGGGATATGGACTTTGTTTTTGTATTTTAAACGTTAAAATTACTTTTATTGTACTCTATAGAACTCAATGAGAGATCTTTTCTGAATGTACTTTGTGCAACGGAAACAAACCCTTTCTGCTAAACTAATTCGATCACCTTTCAGCTGTTACCGCTTTGAGTCGATCAGAAATGATGCGTTTTCAATTTTTAAGCACAAAGTACACTTCAGAGCATGATTTTTGTGACTACTTTGAGCTCAACTCGTAGATAAAACCTTTCTGATTGAACTCGACTCTTTTCCTCGATTCTCTAACTTTTTTTACACCAGAAACGGTGTGTTTAAGGCTAAAAGCCCACTTCAAAGGACACATAGATTTGTTTTTGTTGCGTACTTTGTGCTCAAGATAATGAAAACGTTTAGTTTCTAGTTTACGTTTATGACTTCTGATTCAATTTAGAATTATCACTTGGTTGAAAGGGAGAAAACGAGAAAACGAGGAAAACGAGGAAAACGAGAAAACGAAAGCTTTCAGAGAGCAGAGTAAAAGCAAGATAGCCAAAGTCAGCAAGCCAATGCAATATTAAATCAAATGAAATAAAAATGGGAACACTTAGGCAATAGATGATAGATAGATAAACCCTTAACATTTACAGAACAGAGATCAGAGATTAGATCAGAGAGATGTCATCGAATTCTTCCTAAAAAAGACAATAAATTAAAAGTTGAAAGATATTCAATCATCGCATAGCTATCGTCATTCTTCTACTCGAAATACCTGTCGTCGTTGTCATCAAAATCGATTTCCCCGCATCGCCTATTGTCGTCTTTCGGCCTCTCGTCGATTTACTTGTACTGTCGAGGGTGATAATTGTAATACTAAAAACGTTTAGATACCATATTTCAAAGACTTTTTCGTTTCTTTTCGTTAAGAATTTTGCAAATTTTCAGTTTCTTATCTTACAGCATTTCGGATGCGACAGTATCATCGATTAAAAGATTTAAATAAGAGAAATGGTAGGTAACAATGGACACGATATAGGAAATGGATAAAGAATGGGTACTGTACTTTACTCCCGCCATTTTTTATCTGTTTATTCTTAATTATCGAGGTAGGCTAATTTTCGAAATTTTTTTTTTTGCGCAACAAGGTCGTTTGCGCAATTCGCCATAACTTTCTTCTAAGTGTGCCAATCTTTATGATATTGGTTTCATTTTGTTGCACTTATTGAGATCTACAAAATGACACCAATATCATAAAGATTGGCCGACCTAGAAGAAAGTTATGGCGAGTTGCGCAAAAAAAATTGGGGAAATCAGCCTACCCCAAAGTGGTTGCAAAATAATTATGTTCGCCTTTAAATACATAAGCAAAAAGATAGTGCATTTTAGAATGTCATTATTCAACAATTATTTCACCCATTTATTTGGATACAGAATTATTTGCTCAAAATTATCTAAATAATTATTTGTCCGAGATCAGCACACTCTACTCAAGTTATTGCTGCTCAATCTTTATGGTATTGGTTTCATTTTGTAGATCTCAACAAGTGCAACAAAATGAAACCTCTATGATAAAGATTGGCCGACTTAGAAGAAAGTTATGACGAGTGGCGCAAAAGAATTGCGAAAATTAGCCTACCCCTGCCGTTTTCTTTGTTTTTTTTTTTTGTTTTTCACCATTATTTTTTTGCATCTGGAACCAAATTTAAGTTTATTTTAGTTTTTATTTTTGATTTTCAACTCGCCATAGCTTTCTTAAGTCGGCAAATCTTTTGTGATATTGGTCCACTTGGAAGAAAGTTATGGCGAGTTGCGAAAGGACCCTGTTGCGCAAAAAAATTGCGGAAATTACCCTCGCCTATTTATCTGATCATTTTTTTTTTATCTTAAAAATGACGGGGATATAATTTTATTCTAGTTTTTGACAAATAAAATGTAGGTGAACTTTTTAAAGGTGATAATTTTTATATTAAACTACCGTAAGTACTTAATTTGAGTCAATCTACAGTCTTTTTATTAAACGAAAGTTAATCGGACATCTTTAAAGAAAGATTACGATAGTTTGCTAAGTTATCTTCTAGAAAACTCGCTATCATATGCCGCTATAGTATTCCTGTTTCCAAAAACTCACCCTTGAACACAATGTGACAGCTCCCAAGCTAATGTGGTGTGCACAAATTTCCAAAATCTTGAATCAGTCATTCCGGTGAAGAATTGAAATGAAACAAGCATGTAGACAAAACCGAGAGAAGCCAATGATGACTGAAAAGGAATGATTTAGAAATTCGACTTTCGTTTGTTTTTAAACTCTTACTTTTTTAGAAAGTCAAAAGCTAACCGAATTTGAGTCAAAAAGCAGCTTGTGGCGTTACTAATGACGATTATTTTTGATATCAACTCGTTGGTATTTTCTTATTCATTTCACAGAAAGTTCTCAATAACTTTGTTCTAGTTTCAAGAGGAGATTTCAAAGCTGGAATTGGATAACTGATAACTGATAACTGATAACTGAGAACTGAGAACTGAGAACTGATAACTTATAACTGGAAGGTTATCAGTTACTCCATGGATTTCTCTATAGAAAAAGGCAAAAGTGTGAACTTATACTTTATACCTTCTAGTTGTCCAATCGCTAACTGATAACTGATAACTGGAAGGTTATCAGTTATCAGTTATTAGTTATTAGTTATTATTTATCAGTTATCAGTTATCAGTTATCAGTTATTAGTTATCAGTTATTAGTTATCAGTTATCAGTTAAAGTTTAAGTTCACACTTCACGGATTTCTCTATAGAAAAAGGCAAAAGTGTAAACTTACACTTTATACCTTCTAGTTTGAAATTGAAATTTGAATCGCTTTGAAACTTTGAGAAATATGTTTTTATAACTTTTTATAACGATATTAGACTTAAATAGTTTAGTTTATCTTTGAATATCGATAAAGTTACCGCAAATACTGTAATTGGACCCCATGGGGTACCATTTTTTCCCTCCCCCTCTAGGGTGGGGTACTATTAGAGGGGTGGGGTCCAATTACAGTATTTACGGTATCAATAAAATAGTAATGATTGTGTTAAAAACTGACTTGTGCAAACATCCGCAACTCTCTAACCGTATTATTCCCAGTGATCGCGCCTTGTTTCGTCCATTTCTGAATTATGATTATAAATCTCAAAAATAAGTCCATTCAAAGTTAAACTATTAAATGAAATTCAGCAAATCGGAGAGAATTTTATTATTTGAAATGATTTATTTTAAAGATTTTCCTTTATCATTTTCTAAAACATGAAAACTTTTGAAAACTATCGTAAACTTACAAAGGATACGGTAGTTTTGAAAAGCTGATACGTTCAAAACTACCATAATCTTACGAAGAATATCTAAAGTAGTGATTTGACAGAACTAGAGCTAAGCTTAAGGTAGTTTTTTTTTGAAAGCTTCATTTTAGAAAACGAATACCGTATTTTCTCTAATAGTAGTGCACCCCAGCGAGCCGAGTTGGTGACTATTTTACGGCTTTCAAAGTTTTCACAGAAGCTCAACACTCAAATCCCCCACAAGATCTCATCGTCAGCTACATTTTCCGACCCCACATCGATAGGTTCTGATAAGTGCTTATCGAGATTTCGGGGAATTTAGGTGACGCTTTGGGTGCACTACTATTAGAGAAAATACGGTATTTAGAGCAAATCATAGGTTAATTGATGGATTTGTTATTTTTCAACGGATGTAGGAAAAGGAACGAAAGGCCTTCTGGATATTACGGAATAGTATTCCATACTATTAGCTTGGTAAATATGAAAGGTTATTTTTTTGATCATTTTTAACATAACAGAAAAATTTATTTAAGCACTTTCAAAATCAAATGTATTCACCACAAGCATTAATAACTTCTTTCCAACGTTGCCCCAAATCACGAATACCGTCCTCGTAAAATTAAAGATTTTTAGAGGCAAAATAGTTGGCAACCCAATTTTCGATGTCCTGCTTTTGTTTGAACTGCTGTCCAGAAACTGCTTGTTTCATTGACCGAAAGAGATGGTAATCCGATGGGGCTAGATCAGGGCTGTATGGTGGGTGTGGAAGAAGTTTCCAGCTCAACTTGTCGATTTGTTCGTGGACGATCTTTGAAATGTGAGGCCTAGCATTGTCGTGAAGAAATCTGACCTTCGATGGATCGATCCTCTTTTTCCTCAATGCTGGATCGACTCGACCCATTTGTTCTGCATAAAGTCTTCCGTCAACAGTGTCTCCTTTATCTAATATTTCCAAATGAGCCAATCCCTTAGCATTCCACCACACACAAAGCATAACTTTTCCGGAGGCTTCGGGATAGAATGAGAGGTCCGCTTCGAACTCAGCCACTGTCCATAGAGTTGAATATTTTCACACGAAAGCCAAGTCTCATCAGATGTCAAAAAATACTTCCAAAAGTCACGATGGCTAGCTTTACGTAGAAGAACAGAGCTCAAGGTGACTCGTGTGACTTTGTGGGCATCAGTGAGGTCGTGGGGGAGCCATTTCCCGCTTCGATATGATTTCCCAAGAACGTGTAAATGGTAACATGAGTGCATCCGAACTTTTCTGCTAATTTTCTACACTTTTGCGATGGATCCAAGTCGACCTCGTTCAGTAACAGCTGATCGTCCAAAGTAATCGGCGGCTTTCCATGTGGTGCGTCTTCCAATGACTCGTTTCCCGTTTTGAAGCGAAACACAACATTGTTTGTAAGTAAGAGTAGCTTCTCCAAAAACAATACAAATGTTCTGATGGCATTCCGTAGCTTTCTTGTTTAACTTGAATTCAAAGAAAATGGCGGCCCTGATTTTAAATTTTTGGTTATCCATCTTTGCCGAGCTGAAACAATACAAATATTGTTCAAAACAAAAATGTTTTTGCAAAAAAAACATGAGCACATTTTGACATATTATTGAGAAAAATCCTAGACAGGGAATGTTCTTCGTAACGACAGGGCAATATTTTTTGTAAAAAATAACCTTTCATATTTACCAAGCTAATATTCAATACTATATTGAAGTGTGATTCTGTTTGAACGACCGGGCATTGCCAAATCGGAGCTAGGCTCAGTCCTGGTTCGGGGCGGGACCAGGTATTTTATGGACCAGACTTACAGTGAAGCCAGGGCTGAATTCTCGATTACTGTAGTCCGTAACCCATAATAAATGTTACCATAATCGAGACTACTTTAACATTTAGTAAAATAGAAACCGTATTTTCTCTAATGGTAATGCACCCCAGCGAGCCGAGTTGGTGACTATTTTACGGCTTTCAAAGTTTTCACAGAAGCTCATCACTCAAATCCCCCAAAAGATCTCATCGTCAGCTACATTTTCCGACCACACATCAATCAGTTCTGATAAGCGGTTCTCGAGATTTCGAGGAATTTAGGCGACGCTCAGGGTGCACTACTATTAGAGAAAATACAGTAGTTTAACGGGACACACTGAAGCTTACAAATCCTATCCGACAAATGAAATATTCAACTGATAAACTAAATAGCTTTTAAGTTTAAAATAAAAAGTTATTTGGTGATGTTAGCTGAATATCATTACGATAATAGACAGGAAGCTGAGCTCTTCAATAAAAAAGCCTGCAAAAATAGATCTCAATCACTCACTTTACTCCGATCTCCGACCATTTGCCAACTCTCAAAAGAAATTTTAGTTTAAAGAATTAAAGGGAGATTGAAGATTGATTTTATCAAACTAAATCCAACACTCACTCTGGTTCGAATGCTGAATACGATCAACACACAGAAATCGATGAGCACCTCGACGGTGAAGAAAGAGCAAATAAACATGAAATCGATGTAGAATGAGATGAAATTGCCGCATGGGGTTTTCGAGAAATACCATTGCATCTCGACGCGATCGAAAGTGAAATTGCAACCGGCTAACAAAGAGTTTATGAATAAATGCATATGAAATATTGGGTTGGTGAATTGAAAACTGCGGGCTATTGTCATATGTGACAGTTTGAGCACTTTCTTCAAAAGAAACCCATTTTGGTGTCAATGGAAAAGTTGTAGAGAATCAAAAATCAAGCTTATATCCAAATTTTCAGAACGATTCAAAAGCTGGTTTTCAAGAAATGCGAAATTTACGAATTTTCACAAAACTTCCATTTTAAGCGAAACTACTAAGTGTATCTTTTTGGAAATTTGGCTATAAGCCTAATTTTTGATTCTCTACAACTTTCCCATTGACACCAAAATGGGTTTCTTTTGAAGAAAGTGTGAGAACTGGGACATCTCCAGTCCTCCATTTTTGAGTCTCACACTTGTCGCACACACAAACCAAAATCCTACGACGAAAGAGGAATCCGCAAATTGCCTGTAAAATGGGCAGAAGGGTCAATAATAATGGAAATTATTTCGAATGAATTGATGGCTTTATGTTCAATAAATTTTCAGTTTTCAATTCACCAACCCAATAATATGGATTTTGAATCTAATGTTGAATCATTTGAATCTATTCTATCTAATAAAAGATTCATCTAGTCACAGTCACATCTAGTCTCGTTGATAAAGAAATCAAATGTAAAAAACTTTGCGACAAGCAGCTAAAGTTGTCTTAGAGTTGCACGAGTTTTCAATTCACCAAAGTCCCACAGTTTTCAATTCACCAACCCAATAGCTAATCCATGTAAATTGCTTCACCAAAGCAGCTAGCTAATTTCGATTCCCTTACAATGAAAAGCTAGAATCTTAAGCTAACAAAAGTGGGGCAACTTTTACGATAAAATGATGAAGAAACTTTTCGATGATTCAAGTCAACTTAACTTTGATCTTCATTGATTAAGTCAACGTTCTATTAGCTCTTTTTTTAAATCAACATACTTCTATTCAAGGTTTTCAGGCTTTCAGGAATTCCTTTTGCATAAAAAAATCGTACCCGAGCTACCGTATCCCCAATATCTACTTGAACTAACATACTTGAACTAGAGTACTCCAGCTACCCTACCCTATTCAAACTACAGTATCCAACTAGTATATCTTGACTAACGCATCACAACTATCATACTCCGACTAGCTTACTCAAGATCACCGTACCCCAACAAACTTGGACTATCATACACCAATTACCGGACCAAACTACCGTTAGAATATTGGGATTGTTTCTGCTTATTGTTAGCTTTGTAAATCCGAGAACAAACAAACATAGAAAACATTTCACTGCTTTACTTTCCTTAATTAAGTGTTCAATTGGTGCTTCAAGAGATCTTTTTTATTGAGAAACTTATTAAATTCGGTTTATATCATTTAAAACTATTCTTGAAGCTATCTAAAATGAAATCACCCTTTTCTCTAATATCCATTCTAATCAAGTTCCCCGTTTTCTTTTATCCAATTCATTTGCAATTCCCTAGAGTCTAGCCAAATATGTTTCAAAAATTTTAGAAGCATTTTCTTTCCTCAAATATTATGTGTAGTTTAATTTTAAAGATTGTTGGGATTACGGTAAAAATTTGAAGCTTCAAAGAACGTTGCCAATTTGGGTTTGAAAATTGATCTGGGAGTGTGTCATTTATAGCCATTACTTTGAGAAATTGGGTACACAATTGGAAAATAATATGATGTTTGCAAGGGGATTTCTTGCATCAAAATAGATTTTGAATTCTTTTTTCTATTAAAGTTTATTTGATTAACTCACGAAACAGAAAAGCGATGCTGACGAGGTAGAGGAAAACGAATGAGGGAACGATGATCCATAGAGGGGAAAAGGAAACCTCAAATTGACTGGAATTGACTGGAATTGACGGCCATTTTAGTTGAATTGGGTTAAACATAAACGTTTAAAGGTTCTTCAATCCTTTATAGATTTATGGATAAGATTTTTGGTTAGCTAGTGAAAGTGGAAGCTAGTTAAGTGAAACAGCTAGTTAAGCTAGTTAAGCTAGTTAAGCTAGTTAAGCTAGTTAAGCTAGTTAAGCTAGTTAAGCTAGTTAAGCTAGTTAAGCTAGTTAAGCTAGTTAAGCTAGTTAAGCTAGTTAAGCTAGTTAAGCTAGTTAAGCTAGTTAAGCTAGTTAAGCTAGTTAAGCTAGTTAAGCTAGTTAAGCTAGTTAAGCTAGTTAAGCTAGTTAAGCTAGTTAAGCTAGTTAAGCTAGTTAAGCTAGTTAAGCTAGTTAAGCTAGTTAAGCTAGTTAAGCTAGTTAAGCTAGTTAAGCTAGTTAAGCTAGTTAAGCTAGTTAAGCTAGTTAAGCTAGTTGCTTAGTTAAGCTAGTTAAGCTAGTTAAGCTAGTTAAGCTAGTTAAGCTAGTTAAGCTAGTTAAGCTAGTTAAGCTAGTTAAGCTAGTTAAGCTAGTTAAGCTAGTTAAGCTAGTTAAGCTAGTTAAGCTAGTTAAGCTAGTTAAGCTAGTTAAGCTAGTTAAGCTAGTTAAGCTAGTTAAGCTAGTTAAGCTAGTTAAGCTAGTTAAGCTAGTTAAGCTAGTTAAGCTAGTTAAGCTAGTTAAGCTAGTTAAGCCAGTTGTACAGCTAGACAAATTTCAAAAGCAATTTTAGTCGATTCGGATTCCCTTTGACTTAACTTATACAGAATGTTCAAAATCTACTACGAGATTACTAGATTTAGAAATCATTTTGTACAAGTTTAATGCTAAAAACGAAACACACTGATCAATACGCTCAATGTTAACAACTTTAAGGACTCTCGCTTTCTACCACCAACTTTCAACTTTCAACGCCAACTTTCGTCGCTCTGATGACTTTACTCACTTTATTCCCTTTATTGATTGCAAGAAGTGAAGCAGCTCGATTGATCGTGAGAAACATTGACGAGAGAAAGGCACAGAATTCGGTGGCAAGAGCAAAATAACCGAAAGGGATATTCGTAGCGTTGTCGACAAGAGCCCTGGAAAGCTGACAGTAAGGTATTTTGAGAGGAAAAAGTCATTTTGAGCGCATTTTGAGCTGCATTTTGAGAGGATAAAGTTAACTCAAACAATGATTAATAGTATATTATTTAATAAAGTACAGTAAACAAATATGCAAACCAGTTTTTCAAGTCAATCAACTCCCAACTCACCAATATTCCGGAAACAAGAGACTCCAAGGCATGTGCAAAAGAAAACTCACCAAGTTGAACGTGTCAAAAAGGACATGAGCTCTAAAATCATGATAATATTGATAATAATATTGATAATAATAATGATAATAATAATAATCATAATAATAATCATAATAATAATATCAAATAAAGAAACCAATTCTCCTATTTACCTAGCATATCCAGCGAAATGGGGAGCATTCATTTGTTGAGTTTTCAATCGAAGAAACGCTTTCATGTTAATGATTGAACCCGTAATGCAAACCTAGAAAGTTCAATGATAAATAAAAATCTAAAGAAGCTCCTATTTTGAAGATAAATGGCTACTGTTTAAGCTACGCTAACTACCAAGTGTTGTAAATAAAAATGAGATTTTTAAGATCTGTATTTACAAAAGACCTTAGTCCTCTTAACCAAATAGTTTCTGTAGTTTTACAGCTACTGTAAAACTTTCCAGAAGTGCTGTAACATCGAACTGTATCATTTCCGAATACTAAAGAAAAAATAATCGCTTTTTATTGTTCAAATTTTTAAGATCACGTTCTGTTTCATTTTGAAAATAGATTTTTTGCTTGTTTCTTTTTGTTGAGATCGCTTACCAATAGCACCAAAAGTGCGCCCAACATTTGATCACTTGCAACAATCATACTCAAATCGACTAAACTCGTCCCATTCAAATCGCCCATTTCCACAAACTAGAATTGCAAAATGGTAAAACACTTTCAAAATGACAAAAGAGACAAAAATGCAGACCGAACTATGGAAAGTTTATCAAGAAGTTTATCCAAAAGTTTATCCAAAAGTTTCTCCAAAAAAAGATTCTTCAAAGATTACGAGTTTCTCATGGTGATTAGGGTGCTTGGCTCCAAACTTTACGTGGGTGTTTGGGAATTTTCATTCTTTTTTTAAATTCTATATGTATCTTCGTGCTTTAAAGCACTCAAAAAATCAAGTATCAGCTAGCAAAGTTTCTTTTTATCTTTTTTTAATGTAAAGAACTGGTAGGCTGTATTAATTACGAAGATTTTCGATGTAAACTGAAATTTTTTTATGGTTTTGTTATTGATTTCGAAGAAATTTCTCGATAACTTTATACTAAAGCCAAATCCAATGCCAAACCTAATGTACTTTGAAGTAAAAAAGAAGCCAAAGCATTAAAAGCATTAAAAGAAAGTGCATAGAGGCTATTGAGTCCTTAAAAACTTCAAAACTAAAGAAAGCTCTTAAAAATTAGAAACCATCATACAAAAAGTCGTACAAAAAGAACACAATGAGGAAGATGCTTCCGGTTTGAATACGAAATTCCCAGTGGAGACGGTTTTCTTCAAAAATTTGACTTTTGACTTAAAGAAAACTTGGAGATAACATTTTTGAAAATTTTTGGAAACGAAATACATCTAATATTAGTCTTGTTTTGAAAAAACAATTAGATAACCTTTTTGTTTAAATGCAAAAATAAGATTATTTCATTGAAAGTTGTGGTTTTGCAAAGAGGCAAAGATTTGGCAAAAATTTGGCAAAAATTTTTCACTCTCAGATTCAGTCGATTTTTGATCATTTCGGCGCTAATAATGCGTTTTCGGCAAATGAAAATTTCAAACGAAATTGCTTTAATTTGCTTTTGCTCTAATAAAACATTGATTGACGTTTTCTTGATATAAATTTATCTATGATCGTTATTTTATCGAAATTTTAGTTTAAAATAGTTTTATAGTAGTTTTATAGCAGTTTAAAGTAGTTTTAGAGTAGTTTTATAGTAGTTTAAAGTAGTTTAAAGTTTATGGATAGTTGTATGTAGGAATTTGTAAGCGTACAAAAGAAATCAACGAATTTCAAACTTCATTTTTGGTTTAGTGAAACAAAATGGGAATTCTCGAGAGGAATGATAAACAAGAGCGATTTGTGAATCATAAGAGAAAAAGACAATGGTGGATTGAAAGAAGATTGAGATAAGATATTTAGCAAATATGCAACTAACCAAAAGCTTAAACGCAGGTCAGCTTTAACAATATCAGCTAAATCTAAGTAATCTTTTCTAATGTTAACGTTAAGCGTAAAAGCAAGTGCAATTTAATCTTACAATAGTAGACAAAAGTTTGACAATAAGCGGTCGTTTTTGCAAAAAGCATTGGGTCTAAAAAAATTGTAGCAAGTTCAACTTTAAGCATGAAAAACTTTTAGATTTGATCATCATCTCTACAGGGCTCTACAGGGCTACAGTCGACCTTACAACTCTACAGGGCTACAGTCGACCTTACAACTCTACAGGGCTACAGTCGACCTTACAACTCTACAGGGCTACAGTCGGCTCTACAACTCTACAGGGCTACAGTCGACCTTACAACTCTACAGGGCTACAGTCGGCTCTACAACTCTACAGGGCTACAGTCGACCTTACAACTCTACAGGGCTACAGTCGACCTTACAACTCTACAGGGCTACAGTCGACTCTATAACTCTACAGGGCTACAGTCGACTCTACAACTCTACAGGGTACGGCATAAGTCTGGTTACAGACTCAGAACCGTGTATCGTAATGAAATATGAACGGATTCATGTAAACTTTATTTAAAATTAAAAACGGTAATCATATTCATTAAAAAAAAAATAACAAATTATTCAATATGGGCACCTTTAATCTTGACAACGGCTTTAAGACGCTTTGGATAACTTTCCACGGCGGTCCGCTGGGTACTTTGTGGAATTTCCGCCCAGGCTTGTATAGGCTGTAGATAAAGGAATGCAATTTTAGCCAACGGCCGACGCTAAGCTATATAAAACGACACTTTACATAAAGGAAAGCTATAACGGAAACATTTTTTGGTTTCTTCCATTCCGTTATAGAGAGTCGACTGTATATAAAAAATAATCTCTGTCCATCTGTGCACGCACTACGGGCGTATTTTAAAAAACGTGGCCACCTTTGAATATTTTAAAAAACGCTGAAACAAGTTTCTAATGAAATTTCATGTAGTTGTGTCTTTTAAAAAATTTACAAAAGGTTAAAGTAGGTGGCCACGTTTTTAGCCACTAGCGGGGATGGAATCCGGGTCGCGTGCACGTGAGGTGAGTGCGCTATAGCCACTAGCGGGGATGGAATCCGGGTCGCGTGCACGTGCGGTGAGTGCGCTATCCACTGCGCCATGGGTTCAATTTTGATTTTATGCTGAAATTTGCATGGCGAGGTTTTCCAACAGAGAATTCGTTTCTGGCAATCATTTTTACGTGCCACTAGCCGGGATGGAATCCGGGTCGTGTGCACGTGCGGTGAGTGCGCTATGGGCGCTATGGGAACCGCGCCATGGGTGCAATTTATATTTTAGCTGAAATTTTCATGGTGGGGTAGTTTCTGGCAATCATTTTTACAATTTCTGCTAGTTTTATAGTTTATAGTCATCTCACTAATTGCTTTTCAAAACATTCTAAACTGTTCATATGATTTTAAAAATGTTTTCTTGTTGTTAGAGAAAAGAAATTTGGAAATAAGAGGTGCTTTTTTTAAAGAAACTGATCATGAGACGTATTAAAAGGAAACCATTTTATCAAGAAATCGAAATCGAGAGTTTCCGGGAAAATTTGAAACTTTCACTTCCTCATAAAAGCATTCAAAGCATTCAAAAACAATTTTTCAGAATTTCATTTATTTGAGCGACTTTATTCGATCACTTTTCTAATGGATTTTATTAAGACGCCGTAAATTGGTTTCGTGCAAAAACCGGGGAAAGTTTCGAGAGAAAAAAAAGCGGAAATTGAAATGTTTAGATCGATTTTTCTACCCAATCTTTTACAAATTACAAAGAATAAAAAATTAATGTTAAAAATTTTCATTAATTTGAGCATAAAGTGAAAGCTCGTTTTAAACGTCATATGGCGCTTTAAAGCCTGACTTGGCTCTATCTACAGTAATAAAGTAAAGTAGTGAATGGAAAAGAAAGATTTCTGAAGAGGGGATTGAACCCTCGACCATTTTTGGCTTCCTAGCAGATCCTCTATCCACTGAGCTATCCGGTATTATCTTGTAAGAGAAGAAAGAGGAAAGACAAGGGGGAAGAGAAGGGAAGAAAGAGAAGAGAAAGGAAGAAAGAGAAGAGAAAGGAAAGAAGAGCAAGGAAAGAAGAGAAGAAACCAAGTTGATGCTACCTTAGATTATCGCGATTGATTATCGCGATTCCCAGACAATAGGTGACCGTGCCAATACACCAAACAGACAAAATGTTGAAGAGCAAGCCATGTTTTATGCAATTTTTGTCTTTCATGGCCTTTGCACCGTCTGCATCTGCCTATGGGTATCGCGTTTTTTTGGTTTGTGTCTGGGTTATGCTCGTGCTTAGCCTAATCCAAGCATAAACCACAAAAAAAAAGCGCGATCCGTATAGGCAGTCTGTGCGGGCATGTGTGCTGCAAGCTCTCACGAGCGTCGCCTACGGCGCCGCTGTATGTGCGGAACCAAAGCCTAGATAAATAGCAGGCCCGCCACAAGGGGAGCCACGCAGCAGTTAACCGCAGTTCTTCTATTGTGGCGACAAGAATTGGATACGATAAAGGCAAATTTGGACAACATCAAATCTGGCTTTTTGCCGCGAGGATCTTTAGCTGCAAAGGGAAAAGGATGACAAAAAAACGTTCGAAATCTTTTGCTTAATTTTTCTGGTTTTGTCGATCCAATTTTGTTTGTTGATTGTGCTTCATTCTTGGATAAGTTATCTTGATTAATCGAAAAGATTAATTAAATCTTTATGTTTTTTTGTCATTCCTGTTTGTTATAATTTCTTTTTATCATATTTTATATGTTATAAACATTATTTAATTCACTTAATCAGGTTTCAATCGAGAAAATAGTCACTAATTAGATTTGGTCGGTTTGGTCACCTACCGTAAATACTATTTTCGAAAAGATTTCGATTACGAAAAGACTTTAGCCGATCTATGAGCCTTTTGATCTAAATGAACGCGAGCAGGGAAAGCAGGAGTTTAATTTGTAACTAGCTAAATTTGTTAATAAACATTTTGTTATGAAAAGCTAAAAATATAAGAAATCGGTTTTAAGAGATCAAACAAACATAAATAAACCAAAAGACTTACCGTAAATACTGTAATAGTACCCCACCGCCCTCGTACAGTCGCGTAGTCGCAAAAGTTTTTTAGTATTTCATTTTTTGCAAAGCACCCGTACTTTCAAAAAGTTCGTCTTTGGTTTCAAAAAATAGCTGAAATTCAGGGCTATTTTTGGATACCAAAGCGCGCATTGTAGCATAAACCAGTGTCGAGAACAACTCGTTCAAAGCTAGACTACGCAACACTCCGCACCGACATTATGGGGGTGGGGGTACTATTACAGTATTTACGGTATTTTCCCAACTATCGTTAATTCAAATCACTAGACCTAAAAAGAGCTAAGCTATGAAGATTTAGGAGAAGTTACGGTAGTTTGGGCATCCTTTAAAATCCCTTCCAAAAGTTTAAGCTCTCCAGAAAGTTTCGAAATTTAAAGAGCAGCATTCTGGTGACTCTAAAAGCGGTAATTGTTCGCAAAATTACTCTCAAAATTTTTTAAATTCTAATTTTATTAGTTGTTTAGCACTGTAATCATAAAATTTATCAAAAAACAAAAAACAAAATAAATCGATAATCTCAAAATCGGAAATAT